AACTAAAATAAACATAAAAAATATTTAATTAGTTCCCAGTCCAGATTTTATGATTTTAGTTTTAATATTCGTAATTAAATTAGTTTTATATAATTTGATTAAAATTTAATTTTTTTTTTAAATGTGGACCAAATAAAAATGCTACTATTTATCGATTCTATTCAAAAATAACTCATTTTAATGTATATTTAATTTCAATAACTAAAAAATATTCTGACAATTAAATTTACAGAATTATCACTTTCAAAATTTCAAAAATAATACTAGTTGGATGTCCAAAATATGAACTGTGATTGCTGGATTTCATTTTTGCAGTGTTTTCAATACGTAGAATTGATATAAAATATATTCCTTCAGTTGAACGTAATATAATCGAATTAAATTACCGGTTTGGAGCTTACATTAAATTGTAATTAGATGACACAAAATTAGCCCAATCGGATTAGTATTTTAGATTCTGAAAAATTCGAAGCAGCAATTTTCCTTCGGAATTCGTTGGAGGGGGTCTCTGGTAGTCTAAATTCAAAAAGTTGGGATTCCAAAGTTGTCGTTACCTCCGCCATCTTGATTTAAAGGGTTATTTTTTGTATCTTGAATAACTCATTTATTTTCAATTTTACACGGAAAATAGTTTTTACAAAAGTTATTTAAAATTAAATTTCCTACAATTCTGCTTTTTTTTTGTACGATCGATTTTTTTCGATTTATACCCGAAAAGAGGGGGTGAATTTTTGGTTATAGAATAACTCGTTTATTTTCAATTTTACGAGAAAAATTGTTATAAACAAAGTTGTTTAAAATTAAATTTCCTACAATTCTGCTTTTTTTTGGACGATCGATTTTTTTCGATTTATACCCGAAAAGAGGGGGTGAATTTTTGGTTATAGAATAACTCGTTTATTTTCAATTTTACGAGAAAAATTGTTATAAACAAAGTTGTTTAAAATTAAATTTCCTACAATTCTGCTTTTTTTTTGTACGATCGATTTTTTTCGATTTATACCCGAAAAGAGGGGGTGAATTTTTGGTTATAGAATAAATCGTTTATTTTCAATTTTACGAGAAAAATTGTTATAAACAAAGTTGTTTAAAATTAAATTTCCTACAATTCTGTTTTTTTTTGTACGATCGATTTTTTTGTATTTATCCCTGAGAAGAGTGGGGGTGAACCTAAGTATTGTATTGTCACGTTTATTATTGATGTTGTACCATTATTTTTTCTGTTTGTTTTTTTTTGCTGATTTACAAAAATGTTATTTGGTACAATTATGATTCCGATTTTTTCTAAGAGTTTACCCCCACTCTTCTCAGGGATAAATACAAAAAAATCGAGCGTACAAAAAAAACAGAATTGTAGGAAATTTAATTTTAAACAACTTTGTTTATAACAATTTTTCTCGTAAAATTGAAAATAAACGAGTTATTCTATAACCAAAAATTCACCCCCTCTTTTCGGGTATAAATCGAAAAAAATCGATCGTACAAAAAAAAAAGCAGAATTGTAGGAAATTTAATTATAAATAACTTTTGTAAAAACTATTTTCCGTGTAAAATTGAAAATAAATGAGTTATTCAAGATACAAAAAATAACCCTTTAAATCAAGCTGGCGGAGGTAACGACAACTTTGGAATCCCAACTTTTTGAATTTAGACTACCACAGACCCCCTCCAACGAATTCCGAAGGAAAATTGCTGCTTCGAATTTTTCAGAATCTCAAGCCTGTTCTTCACCTAATCCGATTGGGCTAAATGGATTCTATGTATTTTGAGGCGATCTTTTCGAAAAAAGGTAAAACAAAATGTAGCAGTTTTTCGAAAGTGCCGAAATTTTGGATTTTGTCAATTTTTCAATTTTGCGCATGCGCATGTCGCAAATAAATAAATATTTTTAAAACGCAGTTTACGACATTTGAAAGCTTAGAAAAAATGCTAATTTTTATGTATCTTGAGAAATTTTTATCTGATGCACCGTTCTCGCGGTATGGACGATTGAAATTTGTTTAGTATTTTGAGGCGGCGAAGGTCGAAAAATTGAATTTGTTAAATGTTCAAACACTAAATTCTTCATAACTTTGGTAAAAATTAAGATATTTGAAGAAACAAAAATTCGTTTTGAACTTAAGGGATGTGACTATTGATTTCCAGAAGGGGGCAAGAGAAATCCTAAAATTGGGCATATGGCGGAAGGGCAAAGTGTACCGCAAGCCTAATTTCATTGTTTGCCTATAACGGCTAAACTATTTGAATTTTTTTAATGCCACTTACAAAGCTTACTCTTAAATATGAAATCTTATATGTGTGTGAATTTTACCGAAATCGGATTAGAATTGGCCAAGATATCAAACAATTTAACAAATTTTTTTCCCTAAAAAAAACTAAATTTTTTTTAGAAAGTTTGAAATGGCACAAAAATGCCAAAAATGCTCCCAATGACTCAAAACTTTTTTTTTGAATACGATTACATTATTACGGAAAATTCTGCAAAAATATTTTATCTATTTTTTTGACCACTGTTCATTGAGTGACGACCAAAAAACACGGTTTTTGAGAAAAGTTGCCTGAAATTGACGATTTTTAGTTTTTTGGTCTGAAAATTGAGCAAACCCAAATCTCATGTCTTCTGAATGTGTATACAAAGTTTAAAGTGTGTATGTTTCTTCTAAGTTGTAGAATTCTCCCGACAAAAGTCCCATTACACGCGCTCCGCGGGATCCAAAACTCGTGCATTTCTGTAATTTGATTTTTTTGTGATTTCCAGTTTTAAATTTCTTACATACCTAAATTTATTAGGCCTAAAATTTATTAAATTGTATTTTACTGACTTGTTATAAGACGTTTCTTGAGTTTTGTGCAAAAAATATAATTACCGCAAAATTAGCCGGACGTCGTATCAAGGATAGCCATGGTCTCGGCGTTCGCTATCCGACAAGTTTAAACTTGAAACGGTCATATTATTACAAATTGAATCGCTTGATAGTGTTCATCGGCATAGATTTTTAATAACCGTGTTCAGCAAGCTCTGTGTACACGTGGTTTTTCGGACTTCTTCAGCAATTTATTGAGTAAGTACGTTCTTAAATTAAGAAAATTCTATCACAGTGCTATAATTTTTTTTGTTTCCAGGTTGCAATGGATGGCCTGTGTTTATTATGTCATCAGAAACTTGCAGAGGGTGAACTTACCCCAATTAGACCGACAGGATTGAAAGGTCTGCAGATGGTCAGCAAAGAGAGAGGGGATGATTTTTTCAGTTCTTTAGAACCAGGTTTTGTATTGCATGAGAGGTGTCGCAAACATTACGTAGCTCGACGTTACGGAAAAGAGTTTATTTATAAAACCTGGGATAGGCATAAAAAGGCCGCAATTGACAATGCCAAAAAAAAAGGAGGATGGAGCATCAACCGAGAAGAAAACCAGATGTTAGAGAACAAAAAACATGCTTATCACCAAGTTGGAACTTACACTCAAGCTTAGGATTAATTTCCTAACATTTTTAAAGTATACCTTTTTGTATATTTTTTTGTGCTCTTTTCGATGGCGCAGTTAGTTTCTTCAAATATATTTTTTGTTAGATGTTTTCGGAAAACCCGGAGAAAATCATATGGGAAAAAAATTAAAAAAAATTTACGCCTTCCGGTTTCCTGCGAATTGTCGAAAATTATGGCAGATTTCGCCGCGGGACTTATTTTATTTGAGAGCCCACAAAAAAATACGCTACTTCTCTCATGGACACATATGTCTAACATTTATAATTTCGCCACAAATTCATCGCAAATTTCATGTTCATGATTCTGATCAAAGAAACGAAAAAACAACTTTTTGGTAAAAGCACTTCTGGCGGCGAGAAATTCGCTATTAAAACTACATGTGCAATGAAATTCCGAACTATTTTTGCCTCCTCTTTCGATTGGTGCATTTATTTTTACTATCAGAATGATACTTGTTCAGATAATTAGCATTTTTACCATGGAAAATTCCGGAAAACCCGCTTTTTCCTAATTTAAAAAAAATTGAAAAACAGGTACATCATTTTTTTCTTTTTTTCGGAAAGATCACATCAAAATACACAAGGTCCACTTTGTTTCATCCAATTACAAATTAATGTAAGCTCGAAGGGGCTTTTTTTCGTTATTTAATTGGACTAATAGCATACGTGGGTGTAGAAAAAATAAATGTCTGTAACTAAGTAGGTACTAAAGGGAGGTGGTGCAACTGTAACTACTAAAGGAATATGGGTGCAAAAAGTTTTATTGGTGGTACATATTATTATGAGTGCATTACAGTAAATCATAAAAATTTGACTGGGGGTGAGGAGGCTGTATTTATTAAAAGCCCCCCACTCCACATAAAAATCGCTGTAGTTTCTCAAGGAAGATGGTACATATTACTACATCACTAGTGCATTTTAGGGCAATAGTTTTTTTTTTGAAATATCGTTGGGCAACTTTACCGATCTGAGAAAATTCTAGGACGTTAAGTAGTTAAGGTCCTTAGGATGAACAGCATAATTGAAGGGGTAAGTGGATGAAGGGGTTATGTAACATTTTTATTCCTATTTTTTTGTTGATGAATAATTAATTAAATTAATATGTGTCTTGCCTTGGTATGTTCTTGCGCATCTAATTAGTTCATAATCACTTTTACTAACTCACAAAAACGCATTTTAAAGACATTTTTTACTAAAATACCAATGAATCTAATTTAATAGTTAATTGCTCAAAAAATATGTTTTATAACATAACCCCTTCATCCACTTACCCCTTCAATTAGATCTGTAAAATGGTTGAGAAAATATATTCTTACGTTTTGGATTTGGCATTAGAAGAAATTCATTTTAATTTAGCAGAGTCTATGTTATATAACAACTTCAAACTTCAGAGTATCGATATAAACCTAGGATTACCAAATAACTTAATTTATTCATATCACTTATAAAATTTTATAAATATCAGTGAAGAATCTAATAGTCAATATAAAAATAAAAATTACATAATACTCACCATCAGATTTCATATCTACTCCAATACTTGTCCATATTTTTATCTTGAATGCGGTGTCTAGATATTTTTTATGATTGATATCGTAGAGTTCGGGATATTGGCGTACCAACTCGATTAATTTTTCATCATCTATCATTCTTTCTCAGAAAATCTTAAAAACAACAAAAGCATGGCTGAAAACTTCTGTTTACTAAAAAAACTGTTTCTATGGTAAGTTTTTTAAATTTTAAATAAATATTAAAATGGCCACATTTGAACAATTTTAATACCCTCTACGATTTAAATATTTATTTAGTTTTTTATTTTTGACAGGTACATCGAGATGAATTTAACTGTCACAATAATTGTAATAAAAGACACGAAATCACAAATGTATTACTACTGGAAAAAGTACAAATTTATTTTTATCTACTCCTATTAATTTATATATTAATTATTCAACTGCTTTTGAGCAATTAATAGTATCAATAAACAAATAGCGTGAGTTTTAATAGTGAGTTATTATAACTCACGCTGGGCTCCTACGATAATTCGGCATAGAGTGTGCGCAGTAAATTTTTGGAAATTTTAAAGTCGATGAATGTTCCATTGGCGTAAAATGTTAGAAAGATTTTTTAACAGCTGGAAAGAAATGAATAATAATCAAAAGATTTTAAAACTATTAAATTGTCAACGCCTCTCACTAGGCGGAACAGTCAATTATTACGTTGATAGGAATAATGTCATTTGATATTTTAACCTTTGAATATAAATAGTCAGGAAGGAGCATGCCATATATGCGTTAATCTAATCAATCTGACGGAAGTGGTAGCCATGTTGTACTATGGATGACTCATCATCATATGACAAATGGTTTCTAAAATTGGTTCCTAATTTTAGTGATTAAAATTTGTTAATAATTTGGATATTTTATGTGTTAATTTAAAATTTATCAAACGTATGTTTTGTAGACCTTTTCAAAAAGTGCTTAGTGTTTTAGTATTTAGTCAGTATTAGTGTTAATTTTAAGTTTTCCGCGTTAAAAGACCAACATTACAATATGGTCAGTTGTTGCTCTTGTGGATACAGCAGCACAGCTAAAAGTAGAAAGGAAGGGACTACATTTCATAAGCAAGTATTTTTTTCTCCCAATTATCAAACACAACAAAGATTTTTTAAATTTTTAATGTTTTAAATTTGTAAACAAACATGGTAAGTATATATGCGATCAACTGTGCTCATAGGCGTAGTCTCATGGTTTATAGAGTATATATACATATTCTATTTAAACAAATCTTTTAGGCAATTTTAAAGAAAGGTAATAGATTTATTGGCCGTTCCAGGACCTTCTAGGCCACTTCAGTGTTCTTATCCTGTTCCAGGTATTTCCTCAACTCTAAAGAGTTCAGATGAGGATACTCCTCGAAAAAAAATTCTGAAGAGGAAAATTACTGAACTGCAGGAGGAAAATATTTTGAAAACTAATAAAATAAGAAAACTACAAAAGGTAACATAACAGCAATTACATAACAGCAAAAAAAAACAACTTATGTCTTTGTAATGTATGGTTTGTGAGTTAAAACAAAAAAAATTATTATTAGAACAACATGAAAATGTCATGATAGAACATTTTGGAAAAAATAAGGAAATAGTTGAACGCCTATTTAAAAAAACTCAAAAAAAGAGTGTTAAAAAAATATATGAACATTCAGTTAGAACTTTTGCAGTTACATTACACTTCTTTTCTCCAAAAGCTTATAATTATGTGAGACAAAGTTTTTACAATAGTTTACCACATCCAAAAACTTTGTCAAAGTGGTACTGTTCAGTAGATGCCAAGCCAGGTTTTACATCTGAAACATTGGATTTTTAAAATTAAAAGTTGCCAATTCAAACAAGAACTTGGTTTGTTCCTTATTATTTGATGAAATGTCGATTAGACAGCATTCAGAATTTGTAGGTGATAAATATTATGGATATGTAGATTGTGGTAATGGGCTTTGCACTCACAGAATCGTTATTACTTTATAACATTATGTAATAAAATGATCAGATCTATATTGTTTTAAAATTTAAATTGTTACCGATTTCGAGAGGGTTACTGTTGTTTCACGATGCTGCGTTTTTTATTATTAACATATACATATATAAAATATTTTGAGAAGAGTTGACGAATATCAAGACAATTTGAATAATAAATAATTGGTTTGTTTAAAATTATTTTAATTAATCTTTTTTGCAGATTTTAAAATAGTTTTAAGTGCGTTTTTTAACTCCTTCCCACCCCAGAATACTGTAGTGAATAATTGATTCTACTAAACCATACCATATTAAATATTTTTTTGTTGCAACAATCCTAAGAAGTTTCTGAACTGGTAGAAACCGTATAGTAGACACCTTAGTCCCTAATATAAAGACTAGAGATAAGGAGGCAAATCGGCAAGGGTCAAATTTCAAATTTCTACCCTTCTTTTTATAAAGTTCACGAAATTGACTGTAGTTGGCATGTCTAACAGTAGTGCTGTCAATTTTCTATATAAGTCAATGTGTTTTTTTTTAAATTGGTGAAAATAATCAAAATAATGTGAAAAAAATACATGAGTACAAGTAACATGAGTGACAAAAACCATCAAAGCAAGATTTACTTTGTTCCATATTGTAAAACGGGATACCAATCAGATGTAAAACTAAAGAAAACACAAGGAGAAATAAATTTAATGTCTTTTTAAAGCTTCTAATGCAAGTAAAATATTGTATTTATGTCAAAATATAATATTTATTGTAAACTAATCACAACACGTACCTATCACGGAGTGAAGTTTATTTTATTACAAGTTTCTATAAAATAAAATTTTACAGTCATATACCCTGACTTACAAACAAAAATAATTAATCATTAAATTTTACTTACTAGAAAAGAAAATTTGTTTTTTTTTAGAGTTGCTACTGTTATTTTTTTGTTAAACCCCAAGTTTGTCATTTTAGATGTTTTTTATAGGATCCTAAACGCTTAGAACAGTGGCAGCATATATGTCGTTCCTAGGGCCGATAAAGCACTTTCTAGAGATGATGCTGTTCTACACTTTTTAAAAGCTATTTCCAAATATTATGGGACTCTTTTTACTGATGGTACTGTTAGTAAAAAAGGGGAAAGCCGAAATTAAAGGATCAGGCAATATCATGTACATTCCCACATCTCCCTTTATACTTGTATTATAACAATCAAAAAAATCTGTTAACTGTGTTTTATTTTGCTCCTAAAACTATATTTAGGGGTAATTCAAAAAAATTTAGACACAAAATTGTACTTACCAAATTTCACCATTTAACAAATCTTTTCGAATTTGGTCATACCTACCTAATTTGCATTTTATATAGATAAAATTAAATAATTTATCAACTAAAACATGCGAGACTTATTTAGAAATAATATAATATATTCTGTGCTTTATTTGGCAATAAACAAGTTTATTTTTATTATTTTAACAAAATTATGTAAAATTCCCTTAAGAAACCATGTATTTTGAACAGCACTACTAGCACCAGCGCCTTTGCGGTGAATTAAAAAAGCTCAATTAGTATTCGGTTTTTGGGACCGTATTTCGAGTATGCCGATTCGCCTCCTTCTCTCTAGTCTTTATAGTCCCTAACAACTTGAAATTATTTGTATGTCCCACTTTAGAAAACTGTCAACATAGATGACAAGATATTTCACAGATCTTTTCAAGAGTAAGTTTTCTTTGTTAAGTTTGAAACTCTTAGCTTTTTTGTTCACTTTTTTAGTAATGGGTCATAATTACTTAAGACTCTTTCATTGGTCTAGTCAATCATTTAAACTTTTCTTTCAATAATTTTGGTTTATGGCAAGACTGTCAAATTCTAATCATGAATAGGGATCTGTAAAGGTGCTGTCATTCAAGTAATGCGTCAACTCTACAGCTTTGCTTTCATTTTAGGGGCGTTTGATTTGAAACTCGATCGAGCGAGCGTCGAGGAGACCGAGAAGTGATTACGTCACAATAGAGCATTGAATCAAATCAAATAAAACAGAGTAAAAAACATAACCTCGCTTTTTTTGTGATTCTTGTTTCTGGTTTGTATGTTAAAATAGTGAGCAAAAAGTAAAGAAAATGGAAAAAAAATTAATAATAAGGGGTAATGGCCCTGAAATGCAGCATTTACCACAAATGCCCGCTTCGCTCTTCTACTCCATGACTGTGATTACTGGTGATTAGATCTGGACAGAAAAAAATGTATTTTCCAAACACACATTTTGTGTTTTTTTATGATGAATAAGACAAAAGCGGCTAAGTAATTTGTTGACTTCTTGTCTGGTCTTTAATTTTGAGATTCAAATTTGTTTGTAAGTTAATTAAAAAGAGATAGGTAGAGACAAAGACAAATTTCTCCCTCTTCTCGATATTTCTGCTCTGAGAACATCGAGCTCGCTCTATGTTCTCGCTCCAAAGCGAAACAAACACTTTAGGGATCTCTCGGAGTGTCAATTCAAACACTTTTGAAGTGCTCGGAGATCTCCGATGATCAAATCAAACGCACCATTTCATGCACTTTTCATTCAGTGTTCCAGAACTTAAAGCCGCCTCTGTCTATTATGCGTCTGAACTTAAATTCGTGTGCATGCGCAACTCTGCGAAATTCAAGCAGACCGAAGCAGTAAGCAGCAAAATCATGGCTCATATGTGAGTAAGTGCAGTTAGGTACATTTTATATTACCTATAGTAACTATTGATATCCAACAGAATGAAGCGCTGTTCTAATCTTATCGAAAAACAACTAAAATTTATTATTAATAAAAATGAATTTCTTACCGTACAGTTTTGTCTAATATTCGTTTCAGTTAAACTCAACAAAACGGTTAAAATTTGAAAGCAGGTATACACACCCAACTAGACAACAAAAAGCCAAGGTCAACTAATGCCAATGCCGTTGCGATAGCAACAACATGACTGCACGATTACGGATCGGTTACTGAAGCCGTGGGCCGCACGATGCGATGAGGGCTAGAGTTGCCAGACATCCGGCTTTTAATGTACCTGACGGTTAAAATAGACGTCGTTCGGCTTTGTGAACAGCGTTCGGCTGTTTATTATCGCCACTGTCTGGTTTTTATGAATATTCCGTTAGTAGCGAATGATCGACATCACATTCTATTATAATGGGTATTCCAATAAGAGTACCTGAATCAAATGAAGATACATTCATGTAAGAAGAGTAAAAGTAGTAACAACAATTATTGATGAATTGATAGAATGTAAAGGAAGACCTAATTAGTTAAGTTTCGGAAATATATTTTTTTAAATAATTTGCTTATTTCTTAATTTTCTCTTAAACAACTTGTGAAGATACAGTTTTGTAACTTACTTATTTAATCATATTGCCGAATATTGCCTATTTATACTTGTTGATGTATAAAACTATTAGGTATTAGGAATTCCAAAAAAACTGGCTACCTGTGGGTTTTGACAGGTTAAAATGGAAACATTATAGTAACCCTGTAAGCCTAGTGATTTGACAGGGTCAATGAAATAGATAATTATATAGATTGATCATCCATGTTTTTCAAAATAAACATAAGTTTATGCCTTGAAGTAAAAATATAGGTAATTACTTTTTTTACTATATTCAAATTGGTTTTTAAACACATTTTTGCTAAACTAATTCTGATTAATCAGCACTTGGGAGGCAATATGGCCGCTAGCAAAAGGTCCGTTTTTAGCAATCTATACAACTATATAAGTATAATTGACTCTGTCAATAACAGCAGGCCATAGGGTTGCCATATCTAAACGTCAGTTCCCACTTGTGAGCATTTTGACACGGCGTTGGAATGCCTAATTCCAATGACCTGTCAAAATTCTGCGGTGGGTAATGATAACTCTGTGGGCCTGTTGTCTTTTATAGGGTCAATAATACATATACAAGATGTGTAAATTAAGTAATGAGATTTTCTAGTGTCCGATCTGGCAACACTGGGGACGCGGCACATGGAGGGGTAGGCAGGTAAACATCTAAAGCATCCAGTACAAGTTTGACACCGCTGTCTCCAATGCCAAAAAAACGAAGAATTAGCAAGTCAAAAATCAAATGTATGCTTATTTGCTTTTTTTGATAGCCAAGAAATCATTCACAAAGAGTTTGTGTCTGGAACTCACACTTAAAAAACAGAGTCAAAAGACATTGCTTATGAAAAATGTTGCCAAACCGTGGAGCACACCTGGGATTTCTCCACCAGAGTCGTCGCATGGACTTACACAACCAGAACAAATATAAGAGCCGGAAGTGGCAGTTTCGATTTATATCTAAACCGATGGTTCTAAAACAAAACAAGGCTCAAGATATGAAATATACTCCAGATACAACATAAAATGGGATATCATAATACCAGTGTAGTTCAATCAGAGCTCACGAAATTCTCATAGCAGCAAAAGAAATCACCAGAAACAATATCACTAAAAGGAACATGCTCATCTATACACATATAGCAGACAAGCACTACACACCCTAAACAGACCACGAATTTACTTAATGTTAGTACTAGTATACTAGTACTCCTATTGGCCTGACAAAATAGGTAGTGACAGGCCTAATTAAAGAACATTCAAGTTCAAGGAAAAATGGGATGAAACAAGAAACTGTAAAATTGTCAGGCATCTTTTAAGTTGACTAGGCAGAATCTGCGCCAGGTCATAGGCATTCTTACTGGTCATTGCCAAGTACGGAAGCATCTCAATATCATGGGGCTGTTAGAATCCGCACACTGCAAGGGGTGCGAACAAGAAGATGAGATTATCGAGCATATCCTCTACTATTGCCTGGCGCTCTCATTTATTAGAAGATTTGTCTTCGACGAGTATTGAGAGACTTCGACAAAGGGTCATGCGTGTGAGACCAACCATCAAAAACATGTGCGTGTGTTGCATCACAACAATGCTCATTGTCACACTGCGATTTCTATCAATGAGTTTTTGGCCAATAAAACACATTTTTGCGACCCAGCCTTCTTATTTACTTGAGTTCATGTGACTTTTTCTCTTCCCAAGATTTAAAACTCACCCCAAGGGACACTGGAGAATATTCAAACGGGCGTAGTCGATCAACTGAATGCTATTCCAGTATCCGAGTTCCAATACTGCCATGAGGAATGGAAGAATCGTCTCCAGCGCTGTGTGTCTTCCCACTGTAGTTACTTTACAGGTGTGAAGTTAGCAGCCACTTTCCAGCAGCCCGTTTACCGGGAACACCCGAATTACCAGTGGCGTCGAAATGTATTTTTCTGTGAAGAAAACAGTGTAATAAAATAAAATTACTACTAATTTTTTAAGAAACAAATAAAAAGTGTTTAGAGAAAGGATGAAGGGGTAAACTGAAATAAAAATCCTTTAAAAATTCATTAAAAAATCAATTTTTCTGTAAAGATAACAAGAATATTGAAATAAAAATAGTGTCAAATTGTCAATAAATATAATCTACAATCTAAAAAATTAACAAAATTACTTAGGAAGGGGATGAGAGGGTCATATTTGTCGCTATAGTTACTCAAAATGTAATGTCGTTACTATAGTTTATATATTATATTTTTTGTATCGGCTATCTAGTAGTTGATTGTATTGATTGATAAAATAAAAGTGTCAGAAGTTAAATATTTTATTTAAAATATATTTTGAGTTTCCACTGTTGAAAGCCACTTTGCTAGAATATTAAACAAAATTTTAATAAAAATCTATTTAAAAATTAATTTACCTAAGAAGACATTCCGGTATTGAAATAACATTAGTGTCAAATTGTTAAAAACTGTAAAATACAACTTAAGAAAGGGGGTAAAATTAAATAAAATTCCATTAAATTAGTGGATAATTTTAACATTTTTTTTTTTTTAATTAATCGATATATTCATGTGAACATTTTGTACAATTGATGTTTCATGTCTTTTTATGGCTAAGGACACGTGTTGCCAATCAGAAAAACCATGACAAAATATCGATTTTGGGGATGCATTTTTCATCATTTCGTAAGGAAATTGGCGATTATTCATTTTCTTATTACCAAAAACACATTTCAATTTTTTGAATATCAACCTATTTTTAACCGACTTCAAAAAAGGAGGAGGTTATTCTCACTTCACTTTTCTCTCATTTCATTTTACGTTTACAGTGGACCGGACTAGAAAAATTAACACTGATGAACGAATGAATTATCTTAGAAATTTATTGTAGTACACATAAATTGTCATCCATCTACACGATATCATATTGTTGGAATTAAGAAGAATTGAGAGAACTGGGAATCTGATTGAGTTTGAATTCTAATGTCGAAACCATGTGTCTCGAAATCCCAACTGGTAGAGGCACGGACGCCTATAGTCCGAAGGTTTGATCCCTGGTTGATGCAGTCATTTTTCTTTCCTTTAGTTTTCATCTTTTTAAATTTATCTTTGGTTTGTTTTTATTTTAGGGATATGGGGTCGTATTTTTCATAATTTCGTAGGGGAAATTGGGGTTTATTCAGTTTCATATTTTCAAAATTGATTATTTATTTTAAATTAATTTTATTCAATAAGTAATAAAATTAAAGCAAAACGTCTTCGTGATACGCACTTAACTTAGTATAATTGGTAATTTTGATATTTCCTTCTATATCAGTTTTCTCGGGTTATTTCATTTTCTATTAAATTAAAACGCAATAATACAGAAAAACATTAATTTTTTTTTCTATATGTCGTCTTCGAGTGTGGATTCTCGAGTACATAGTGGATTGGAGTGGAAGCGAGATCAATAGGTTGGAGAGGAGCGAGCGTCGAAGCGCGGCCATTGCAGGCACCGGGACGCCTCGAGCATTGATCGACCCACTAACCCAAATCATAATAATAGAGCGCCGCCGTCGACCACGAGGACGACGGCGACGTCGGATTAATGTAGCTCTCGCGGCTGTACGGTTAAAAATTCTCCTTTTTTATTTGCTCACACCTTGTAAGTATGTAGCGTACAGAGTGTACCATGTTCATTTCGGTGTTTATTAATGAAATGCAATGTAGTGGTTTTTTCGCATAACATCGGTCAATCTTAGCAGAATAAAATACTAACCTAGTTTTACAACCTTATTTTACAACTTTAATTTAGAACCTTATTTTACAAACCAGTCTTACAATCTAATTTTACAACCCACCTACATATAGAAAATAAGAATCTATGGTAGATGCGCCCGTGGTACTTGCGGCCACTACCTAAAATTGTGGCTTTTGCGCCCTATCCTATTTTTGGAGTTTACTTGCTTTTTAAGAAGAGTCAAGTTTGTGGCAGTTGCGTCCTGTTTTTATTTGCAGGTAGGTGTAGGTAGTAGGTGGGTAAACTTAAAATATCTGCGATACATTTTTAGTATTCTAAAAAAAGTTTCTTATTATGTATTTCTTTCATTTTCTTGTATCTCTAATTAAGAGTTGTTAGCGGCCGTATCTCAGAATATCTTGAAGAATAATTAAAAAAAAAAAAAAAAAAAAAAGAGCGATTTTTATTTCAAGGGAATACCTTTTCATCATATCTTTAATTTTCATATGTTATTCTTCTCCCCTCCGTCACTCTAATATAATTTAGATAGGGAGGTACCAAGTATGACGCATCATCGAAAAGATCATTTAAAGAGGAATTGCGAATTCAGCAATATCTATTACTGTGCACTGGATTACTTTTAATTTTAGCGCCAGTTACGTATTTTAAAGTGTGGCCATGGGCGTCGTTACACAATTCTATAGGGTTGGGCAAAATTTTGAAAAAATTTAGAATGTTTATTTGATGAAAAACAAAGAAAATGGAAAATAAAAGGGCAATACAAATTAACAAAAGTTTCTAATAAATAAAATAACCCAACAAAAAAGACAAAAACTAAAATAAAAAAAAACAAGAAACTTAGAACATATATTTTTAAAAAACACACAGAAGGGTGAAATAGAAAAAAAATATGAACACGTCGACGAACACTAGGAAAACGCAAA